CTACTCTACTCTACTCTACTCTACTCTACTCTACTCTACTCTACTCTGTATTTAGATCACTCTATGTATAAATCTTTAAAGCAAGAATCCTGGGTTGCAAGAATCCTAGGTTGCAAGCTATTAGGGATTGGAAACATCTTTAGGTACTAGGTGCCATCACCTGATCCTGTGCACAGCATAGGAATCAAGATGCCCTATAAAAACACCCAGACTTTGAATGAGGATGATCACTACAAGTATATGGGCATCCTTCCTACTGATGACATCAAGTGCACTAAAGTCAAGAAGAAGATTAAAAGTGAATACATCAAAAGAATGAAGATCTTAACATTCAAACTCAGTGGAGGAAATACCATCAAGGCAATTAACACTTGAGCAATTCCAGTCATTAGACACATAGCTGCTATAGTGGATTGCACTCAAGCAGAACTTAAAGCCATGGATAGGAAGCCAGGTAAATTGGCAGGGATATATCATGCCCTTCATCCACACACCAGTGTTTACAGACTGTTATTTCCATAGAACATCTTGATTTCTTCAGTTTTCATCATTTTCCCCCTCTTTTTGGTAAGGGTGGCTTGTTGTCCAGTGCAAACTCCATATAAGTATCTTGGCTATATATAAGGACAGTGTTGAGCAATGATTCTATTTGAAATGGTGTTTTTCCATACAATCAGATCACCCACATAAAGGAGGTGAGATAGTGTGGTAGATATTTTTGCTGTTTGATAGCCGTGGCCTGAATTATTCAGCATTGTTGATAGAGGAATCAGTGCAACGACAAATAGAAGTGGTGATAGTGAGTTTCCTTGAAAGATAGAACATAGATTTCGGTCTTGATATTAACTCCTCTTAGTCTTTCATAACTGACCAACAATTGTCTCTTCATAGTGTCATTAACCATGGCACAAAGCTTCTGACTTCTAGGCATTTGATTATCCAATCATGTGGCAGAGTGTCAAACACTTTTTTGTCATCAATCCATGCTACATTCAAATAGGTCTTCTTTCTCTTGCAGTTTCCCAAAATCATTTTGTCAATTAGGGGTTGATCTTTGTTCCTCTGCTGTTTCAGAGGTTTCCTTTCTGCTCAGGTGGAAGGAGCTTGTTTTCAACTAGATGCTATTGGACTGGGTCAGCTACCACATCAGTTAGCAATTGAAAGTTGTTGGTAAGCAGGTAATTGGCCTGTAATTGCCAGATGCTGCCTCTTTTGTTGGAACTTTCATTATCAGGTAGGTTTTGCCAAATCTTAACCAATCTTCAATGTTGCCTTCTTGTTGTTAAACTATTTGGCAATGAATAGATGTAGCCTCTCTTCTGTTATTTCAGATTCTGGATGTTCTTTCTAGAACCGGTGCATTCTTTTCGGATATTCTCTTCTCGTTGGGCTTATTCTTCTCTATTATTGCAGTCTAATTTTGAGCCACACTTCAGCTGAATGAAGGTTCAGCTCAGTGGTGGGATTCAGTTTTTTTTTTACTATGGGTTCTATGGGTGTAGCTTAGTGGGCGTGGCAGGGGAAGGCTACTGTAAAATCTCCAGTCAGAGGGGGTATTTGCCGGTTCTCTGAACGACTCAAAATTTCCGCTACTGGTTCTCCAAAACTGGTCAGAACTTGCTGAATACCATGTCTGGTTCAGCTACTGTATGTTGTGGCTTTTCCTCCTATTGTCACATGGGGTGCCTGATTTAGTTTTCAGAGTTCCACGATACATGTATATTTATCTATTATCAATTTGATCAAAATATATATGAAATAAAAATTGCTTAGACAGGTGAAGATGCTGATTTATGCAGAATCACCTCAATTAGGCACATAGAGTTGTTGGTTCTGTGGCCGGAGTGCCTAGAATTATTTAGGAACATGAATAAATATACTATATTCAGGATGTACATTACGCTAAGTACATGATGTTTCAAAAGGCAATTGATCAATTCATTACCAAAGGCTTCCAAGAAAACTCCTTTCCTGGATTGGATAAATGTCTAAAATTTAGGAAATACAGTGAATGCATGGTTATTTTTGACAATATATCAAAATAAGCAAGGTGGATCCAAATGAAGCACTATTGCAACTAATATTGGTTAATATTCATATAGGATCTGGAGTTCAAACACCTGATGTTTTACAAATGAAGGAGAATATATGTGTCCCAGGATAATGTTGCAGGATCCAATCTGGGCTGGTCACAGGAACCAGAGGTTTTGTCTTCTGAGCTGCTTTTGGACTCATGCTGGAGCCCATCTTCTCACTTCTGAAGAGAGGCTACCAGTGAGAAGTTCTCTGGAGAGAAAGTTCCCTGGAGAGAAGTTCCCTCAGGATGGGCTCCAGCACAAGTCCAAAAGCTCAGAAGGCATAACCTCTGGTCCCGGTGACCAGCCCAGATTGGATCCTGCAACCTGAGGTATCCTTTGGGAATGTCATCAAATTGTTCAGATAGTATAATTTTAACCCAATGGCAAAGAGGTTCCAAAAGAATCTTTCATGGAAGGAAGAGCAAATAAGATTCTGTGAAGTAAGAGTAAAATTGCAGAGTAAAATTCTCCATATGTCCTATGTTCAGTTATGTTTCGTTGTCTTAAGAATAGCCAAGTTTGACTGGCTGTCGACACACTGTGGGGCTGCTCCAGGACTTCACATAGGAAGCTCAGAGGATGTTCTTAGTTTAGACACGCCCAGCTTTTTCATTTTTTCCCCCCAATTTTAGCTTATTTGCTTTTCCTGGATGTTATGAAAATATATATCATTGTCTCTGTATTTTGTGCAGTAATTGTAGTAGATAATTATCAAACGAGCCACTGATTTGTTTTAGGATAGATTTCCTTTTAAACCTAAAGCTGATTCTGGTTCCTTTGTTCTTTCCTTCCAGCTCTGTCAAAGATGCACTGGACACCAGAGCATGCTCAGCCCCTGAATCAGTGGCCAGAGCAGCACCTCGATGTCTCCTCCACCACCTCTTCACCAGCCCACAAATCTGATCTCTACCATAGCAGTCGGCAGCGCTTCAACTATGCTTGGGCCAATGATGACATCTCTGCTCTGACTGCTTCCAACCTGCTGAAGAGGTATGCGGAAAAGTACTCAGGAGTCCTCGACTCCCCTTATGACCGGCCATCAGCACTCAACACCTATGGGGATGGTGCCTTTGGACCCCTCAATGGACAGAAGGGGGAGGTTGAGCCTTGGTCAATGGCCCACAGCGCCGAAGGAGTTTACCCTCTGACCCCAATGCATGATGGACTGTCCAGCTCCAAGGGGATTGTTCCTCCTCCTGTCACACCGGGTAATGGTCTTGGTACCTCCCCCGTGGTTTCCACTAACCTGTCTGACTCGATTTATCCCAGTAACACTTGTGGGGGACCCACCACATCTGGCAGCCTCGGGGCATCTCAGGAGTATCCATCGGGCTACAGTGGAGCCTACCTGCCCTCAGGCTATTGCAGCCAGCCCACTTCGGCACTTCCCCCTCCACACCCATCCACCCACCTGCATAGCTCTGGCCTCCTGCAGCCCAGCCATCCTTCCACCACCCTTGTCCCTGGATATACTTCTTCAGGACCCATGTATAATTACGCTTCAGGGAGCTACCCAGCCCAGCCCACTTACGGTGCCATCCACCCTCCCCATCCTTCAGCTTCATATTTGCCCTCGGGCATTGCTGCCCCCACACCCATTCCCCCTTCCTCCCGCCCTCCTGTGGTCCCTGGTTACAGCTATCAGAGTCCTCTCTCTGTAGCACCCTTGAGTGGCGAACCAGGGAGCTCTTTGAAAAGAAAGGCCTTTGATATCGCTGGCGGGGAGGAAGATGGCGAAGACAGGTATCGCAAATACAGCTATGAGCAACCAAAGTCCCCATATCAGATGTCCGACAATGGTGAATGTAGAGGGAATGGATTCAACCGGAGCTCAGAGGTGCCTTTCAAAGGTGGGAAAAGGCCAAGTGGAGCAGGAGTGGTGGCAACCACAGTGGCTTCCGACGAGCCCATTGGGAAGTTCAACAACCAGGCTATGAAAGGATTGGTCTCTCCAGCTTACAGTGTTAGTGAAGCCCCACTGAGGGCTAGTGAGAGCTTTGAGAAATTCACTCCCCCGGCTGCCAATGGGGAGCACGAGGGAGACTCCTTTGCTCTAAGGATGCAGCCCAAAACAACAGCATTCAGTGGTGACAACAGCAGCCAGCCAGTAGAAGAACAGCTGAAAACCATGGACCCTTTCATTCTGGAATTGGTGAACAACAAAGTAATTGACTGTGGCCCTCCAGTCCAGTGGACGGACATTGCAGGACAAGTCTCTGTCAAAGCTGCCATTGAAGAAGAGCTCGTGTGGCCCATCCTGAGGCCTGGTGCATATACTGGTGCAAACCAACCACCCAGAACCATCCTGCTCTTTGGGCCTCGTGGTGTAGGGAAGACCCTGCTGAGCAGGTGCATTTCTACCCAGCTGGGATCTACCCTGTTGAAGCTCAGTGGCACAGCCTTGGTCTCCAAGTGGAAGGCTGAGGCAGAGAAAATCCTACAGACCACTTTCTTCATATCCAGCTGTCGGCAGCCTGCTGTCATTCTCCTCACCGACGTGGAATCTGTTTTAGAAGACGCTGCCATCTCGAAATCCCAGTTGCTCACCTACCTGGACAAGCTCGCTACCTCCGCTGAGCAGAATGTGGTTGTCATAGCAACCACCACCAGGCCCGGTAATCTGGATGAAGCCACCCAAAGAAGGTTTGCCAAACGTTTTTACATCTCCCCGCCAGACAGCATTGCAAGGCGGCAGATTCTGCACCATGCTTTAGCTCAGCAAAACTACTGTCTCAGCGAGAGGGAGATGGCCTCCATTGTCCAACTTACTGAAAGCTACTCAGGCAGTGAGCTCCTCCAGCTCTGTCAGCAGGCAGGGACCAATAAACTGCATAGCCTGCCAGGCCAACTTCAACCCACCTCCTACAAGGATTTTGAAAGCGTTTTCTGCAAAATCCACCCTGCTGTCTCTCAGAAGGAGCTGGACTTGTATGTGGAATGGGATAAAATGTATGGCTCTCACAATTAGTGGGGAAGCTCCTGTTCCACTTTCCAAATAATCTTTAATCTGTTTGAGAGGAAGCCACTGGAAGCATTGAATTCTTGGTTTGCTCTTAAAGGTCTTGGGGCGCTGCAGGTTCCAGTTTCTGAGAGTCTCATTCCTCTTTCCGTATGAAAATGGGGGAAAGGATGAGATGTAGTTTTCATCTCTTAAAAAAAAAGCCACACCAATTGGATGCAAGTCCTCCCCTAGACTGACTGACATGCAGCTTGTTTTTTAAAAAAAATGTCTGAAAGTTTGTGTGGTGGTTGTCAGGTCTCTATGTTAATGAAAAGTAGTTGCTCAATGAACTCAGGATAACCTATTTATTATTGATCTGTTCTTCTAATCAACCCTTTCCAGCCAGCATTGTAAAATATTCTGCCAGGTATTACCCCTTTCCCAGCTCCTTTTTAATGCTGCACACCTCAAACACTTCTGTCTGACTCTTCTATTGCAGCCTCTCTCCATCTTTTTACCCTGAAGAAACCCTTGAAATAATGTTCAGGTCTCAGGGAAGCCCTGCATAAAAATAGCAAAAAAACAAACAAACCAAAAAAACCCCAAATACCTCACAGTTCAATTCACTTTTAACCTACACCATCTACATTTTACAATATTTACAACAATCGCAAAATGGCAGGCTGGCAACTACATTGGGGTGTATAAACATTCCAACCACTGTCAGTGCTGGCATTGCCTGGCCCACAAAGTTCCCAAAAAACAATATTTGATTTTTTTTTTTGAATGATGTCTGTCAGAATTTCATGGTTCTGTCAAACTAATTAGGGAAGGTTGTCCTATAGGTCCCTATAGGGAACAACCTATGGATCATTCATTTAATATTTCTTAACAGACTCATTTTCAGAGGCATATCTTACAATAAAGCAGATGGAATCAGTACGTTTTGAGAGAAGTGGGTTGGGATTTTTTAAAATGTAGATTATTGAATAAGCTAGGCTCTTTTTTATTTTTCTAATGTATGTAGTAGTGGCTTTTTCCCTTTTTTTTAACTACTCAGGAAAAATAATTTACCTCAAAAAATAAAGAATGTTTGCATTTTTTTTTAATTCAAGGAAAATAAAAATGATTTGGAGGGATTACAAATGTGCTTTATAAGGTGCACAGGAGAAAAAAAAGCAAGAATAAACTTGAAGTTGTTACAAAGATGAAAGTTGAATGTATTTCAGGAGTGTTTCACAATATATAATGCCATAACTTTCTTCTTTTTATTTAAAGAAAACATTTTTGCCATAGCATTTAGGTGGAGTAATGTGTCTTCAAAGAATAAGAAGTATTAATATTGACGTTTCAAAGCCATGGCTAGTACCACTTTTTAAAGGAATCTTTCTATTACATTTCCAAATGCCAAATAGCCATGTCATGTTTCCTTGTCCTATGCTTTTTATAGGACCTTCTATAGTAAGACTTCTGTAATCAAAGAAAATGTCCATTTGCGCTTCCCAAAGTATTTTGAGGCAAAACAAAACAAAACACAGACCCGTAGTCCCTGTCAAGGTATCCCAAGGGCCAGGGCATCTTCCCCAACATGGTTGCCCTCAAATTCCTGGTTGAACCGCCCAGAATTCTCCAGCCAAAATGGCCACTTCTTGAGAATTCTAGGAGCCAAATTGGGGAAACTTGGCCTGTAGGATTCAATGAGCGTCTGCATGCGGAGAAGGAAGTTAGTAGATGAATAAATGGTGCCCTTTTAGCTCTTCATTCAAGATTGAGAAGCCTCTACTAAATCTAGTCCTCCGATCCATCCTAGAGCAGGGGATAGGTACCTCAGCCATAGAGCTGGAACATTTGTTTCCAACCATCCCTGCACAATTTTTTTTTCCTGTCTCTTGCATTTTTGTCCCCTGACCTGGGAGTCACAATTCAAGAGGTAAATCTATGTAGGTTTGTACTCTGTACTGTTCCATTTATAGATGCGTGTGTAGGTAAAAGGAGAGCATGTCTTATAAATGTTTGTGTAAGTGAATGATGTTTCCCTCTGTGTAAGCATATAAGAAATCCTGCATTTATGAAAATACGGTTGAAAATGGAGTCATGTGCACTTAGGAGAGACTTGTACCCTCTCAAGCAGGAGATACACATCAGGAGGCTATCATGTGCCTACTTTGCATTGTCTTTTTGTTGTTGCTATATTGTTGCAGTATGTTGCCATTCTGAGCAATTCTAGTGTTTTTTTTCTCAACTTCAGCAGCTTTAAGATGTGTAGACTTCAACTCCCATAATTCCCCAGCAAGCATGCAACTAAAGATGCTGAGCAGTGGTGGGATTCAAATTTTTTTACTACCGGTTCTGTGGACATGGCTTGGTGGGCGGGGCAGGGGAAGGATACTACAAAATCCCGATTCCCTCCCCACCCCACTAACCTGCTTTCCAGCTCCGTTCTCCTGTGCAGGGCAACAAAAAAAGATCCAGCCAATCAGCTGGGACTCGGGAGGCAGAGAATAGATGGGGGCGGGGCCAGTCAGGGATGGTATTTGCCAGTTCTTTGAACTATTCAAAATTTCCGCTACTGGTTCTCCAGAACTGGTCAGGAGCTGTTGAATACCACCTCTGGTGCTGAGGTTAAGAAACACTGTGATAGAACTTGCTAGTTGAATGTATACATCCCAGACCGAGCATAATATGAGGCCTCAATCTATACACATGCAGAGTTAAGTCATCTTTTGTCTGCATCTCCCCCTCAAAATTCTTCAAACTCCAAGGTTAATTTTGGAGAAGGAACTGACAATTCTTGCGTCTAAATATTCCCATTTTGTGAAAGTTTACAAAAAGACTTCTTGGAATATGGACAGAAATTGATCAAAGGTAAACCTCCAAATATTAAACTTACTACGGTAGATAGGATCCATCTGACTACTGTGTGCGGGATAAGAAATTATTTTAAAAAGTTTATAAAGATGAATTCCCTGTTCAGGTGTAGACTGGATTTCCGTGGCACCCAATCCCTTTCTATAATCCATAGAATTCTGCTTTCCCCTCAAGACTGCCTTGCCAAAATGCAATGGCAAATGAGTAATTTATTTTCATTTTCCACAAATAGTAAAAATACAGTAAAGCTGTTAAGTTCTAGCAGATACGACACCTGTTTAACCAGGAGAACTGAAGGTCTCCAAAAGGAGGAGGCTTCATTCTCATGTGAGATACACTTCTTTTGCCAAAGTTCTGGTTTATAAACCACAATGCCTTAGAGCAGTACCAAACATTATGGCTTAATGCAAATTCTGATGCCAGCAGGTGTCTTGCTTGGGATATATTAATATCTACTCTATTTCAAATATAGCACACTCTGGATCCAACACAAATCCATGCAGACAGAATCAGAGTATTTGGATGTATTTGGATAAGAAACGTTAGGGAAATGGGTGATACCTTTAAATAGGTACTTTTGAGATAATTCCATATTCTACAGTTACAAGAATATCTGAATAATAAGGTCAGTGTAATCTGCATGAAAAGCATAGCAATAAAGTAGGAGACAAAACAAGCACACGTGCATTTAGCAGTCAGTGACAAGCCCCTTTGCAATGTCATACTGGTGATTTCACACCTCTTATTACTACAAATTAATTAGCCAAAGTAAATAATAATCCCATATGGTTTAGAACAGTGGTGGGGAACTATGGCCTCTTTATGACTCGTGGACTTCAACTTCCAGAATTCCTAAGCCAGCCATGCTGGTTCAGGAATTCTAGGAGTTGAAGTTGATAGGTCATAAAAGGGCCATAGTTCCCCACCCCTTTAGTTTAGAAGAAACCAGAATTTCTGCTTAACATCTCTAAAGATCATCTCTTCTTTAATCATGAGATGGATTCCTTTGCAAGTCTAGGCATCAGATTAGGAATTTAAATTATATAAGGGATCTGGATTTTATTAGCTGCTTAAAGATCAGAGGTGAGATGATGCAGATACCAGAACCAAAGCAAAGATTAACTACATGATTCTGTTTAGGATTTTTTTTTCTCCCGTCCATTTTGAAATGAAAACAAACATTGCTGAATTAAAAAGCTGGCTGAAAGTTGTAAACGCTACTTAGTTGTGGCTCAAGCAGTCAATTGTCATTTAAATCAAAGCACTTAATATCAGAAAAAGAGAGCTGATCCAGAAAACTCCCAATTCAGGGCATCTTTGGATAGGTCACAATCTTCCAATCTCATTTTTCCCATTTATGATGTAGACTTGTCTCTCACAGACTTTTAAGAGGATTTCATTAGGCACTTTGCATACAATAAATACTATATTTAAAAAAGACCAACCTGAATACCTCTTCCTCCATTGATCACTGAATGGAACCATTCAATAAAAGTCCTCTCTAAATGTTGATTTAAGAGTTGATGCTCACCCTTCCATCTAAGTCAGTCCTTGATACTATATAACTGAAGAGTGTAATCATCTGCTTGGAAAATATTGCATTTGGAAGAATTTGCATAACAAAAAAGTTAAACTTTCCAGTCTTCCCATTTGTTTTTTTCTTTCCAACTTTTAGCCTCTTGGCTCCTTCCCATGAAAACCAAAAAGGTGGAGAATAAAGAGGATCACAGAAGTGATCCTTGATCCTTTTATTAGGTGAAGATCTTTCATTAGGTCTATGTGTGTTAATAGTCTATCGTATTTAGCTTGCAAATCTGAAATGGTAAAACCCACAAAGAGAGCTTGTATGATAAATTCAGGACAATCAAGCCTATGGTACACATTCTGGTTAAATTTGATATTTTAACAAACGTATTTACAGCAGCTATGGATCTTGTTGATTCATAGACATCTTTTGCCCTATCTTCTCTTAACGCCTAATAATAAATGAAATAAATTGCCATCAATGTTAAAACCTGCTAGATATTTAACAGTAAAGGGAGATGGTTTATTTTCTCAGTAAGAAAATTCCATTTGATCAGTTAGCACTTTATTTTGGAATTAATGGAACATTATTGTGACCGAGGTTTATTTTTTTTTCTTATATTTATATTTTCCTGCCATTATTATTTCTTGGTGAAAACCTATCTCTCTTTTGCATATTCAGTCTCTTTTTTATTCATTATGATGTCTGTTAATTCTTCCTTTCTGATTCACATGCTCTTATTTTTTTTATTGTATTCTGAAGATCACCTAGCAATTTGTAAGTCATTGTGAGCTTAGTGATTGATAAATATTTGTAGGGAATTTTCTGATTCTTTTTCTAACTGAGGAAGCAACCTGAAAATGTTGCATTCCTCAAAACCAGAGGTCAGCTGCACATTTACTTGGCAGTCATTTTTCCTGAAGATTTTTTTAAATGAAGGATGGGAAGAACTAATAAGTGGAGCTGTTCTTCCTTCTGTCTGCCCTAGCTGGACCCTGGAACTACTTCCACAAGCTGAATCATATGACTGGAGGGGGTGGAGGGAGAAGCTGCCAGGAAACTAAAGGAAATAGCTGGAATGGAAGGTTTCTAGGGAATAACAAACTGGAAGAAGAGTTGAGTACTTCTGTTCTGTGGTTTTCTGCTATAAGTAGTCCTCAACTTACAACCATTCATTTAGCGAATATTTGAAATTGCGGTCGCACTTACAACCATTGCAGCATCCCTATGGTCATGTGATCAAAATTTGGGCACTTGGCAGCCGGCATGGTTTACAGTGGTTGCAGCATCCCAGGGCCATGTGATCACCATTTGCGACCTTCCCAGCCAGCTTCCAACAAGCAAATCAATGGAAGAAGCCTGATTTGCTTAATGACTGCATGACTCACTTAACAACAGCAGCAATTCGTTAACGACGTGGTAAAAAAAGGCTCATAAAATCTGTCACAACTCACAACTGCTTAGCCATGAAAATTCTGGTCCCAGATTCTGGTCATAAGTTGTAAAGCAAAGTGAAGGTCATAAGTTGAGGACCACGTGAACATCCCCAGGATAATGGGCATTTGCTTCCTTGTTTCTTATTCTATTGAAAAATCACTGACTTCTGAATGACTGTG